TTTCGTCTACCAGTACTATTTTAAAGTAGGGAGAAAAACAAAGTAACCAACTATTGTCTTAAATTGGGCAACATCGCTATCACGAGAGCAACGGCTACATTGTCAATTTTTTAACAAAAGTTTTTTTTTCGTCTACTAATACTATTTTAAAGAAGAGGGCAAAAGATGAGTGACCAGCTATTGTCTTAAATAGGGCGACATCGCTATCACGAGAGAAACAGGTACATTGTCAATTCGTTAACAAGAGTTTTTTTTAGTCTACCAATACTGTTTTAAAGTAAGAGGCAAAAGATGAGTAACCACCTATCGCCTTAAATAGGACGTTATCGCTATCACGTGGGAAACGGGTACATTGTCAATTATTTAACAAATGCTTTTTAGTCTACTGATACTATTTTAAAGTAGATGGCAAAAGATGAATAACCAGCTATAGTCTTAAATAATGTGACATCGCTATCACGAGAAAAACAGCTACATTGTCAATTTTTTAACAAAAGTTTTTTCTTGTCTGCCAATACTATTTTAAAGTAGTGGGAAAAAATGAGTATCCAGCCATCGTCTTAATAATAAGATAAACGGCTGCATTGCCAAATTTTTAACAAAAGTTTTTGTTCGTAGTTATTTTTCTTTGTTTTGAGCACTGTTGTTTAGTTCATTTTATTATAGTTGTTTATAACAGAATCGTTTTAATAGATATTGCTAAATCAATACAATAATAAAGTACCTATATTTCTCAATCCTTCATATTACAAGAACATGGAAAGATAATAAAACAGAAAACAATAGTTTTAATGAAAGGAAAATATTTAGCATTAAATAATTTATAATTATTTCCAAGAAAGGAAGTGGGTGCGGAAAATAATCATATTGTCGAGACTTCTTGTCTTGTGTTGGCGACTGTTCTAAAAATTTTGTAATATAAATAAATTCTATAAAAGGTTGGAAATATAATTACAAATCTTTGTATACACTTACCCATTGACAACAACCATTTTTTTATTTGAGAAATGTGTAAAAAAGATGCATAATCAGTATAGAAACTAGGGCTGTAGTCAAACGATACACATTCTTTATAATATAAAATACAAACCATTCTTTGTTTTATTTTTTTACCATCTATCTACTGCCTACATATGCACAAAAACTTTTTCAACATAATTTTAATATAATTTAAAGAAGTCAAAAACCCGGGCTTGCTTGTAGGTAAGTGACCAGAACGACTGGACCTGAATCAGAGGTCCTAGGTTAGATCCCGCTGGCAACGTTTTTTTTGCAAATGTAGAAAACAATATGTTTTCAAGGTATTAATCAAGCATCGAGGTAGTAAAAATATTTACCCTTTTACAGTAATAATAATTCATCACACAGAGATTGGAAAACTTTTGTTGGGATTCCACCTGTAGAAGAGCTTGTACGGCCTTTAGGTTTAGATTGCTGTTCAAAACATATAAATAAACAAAATATAGCACGTATGTGGTGATTTCACAGTATTCTTTTACTATTTTTTCAATAGCTTTTCTCGTTTTCAAAATACTATTCCGACTAATATGGCATTCAGTGCCTTCAAAGGTTAGATAGAATTTCAACCTGGAATCATATTTCTTCGGAAAAATAATACAGAAGTATAACATTTAGAACCGCGGACAGTCGATCGATGACCGTCCCGAGAATAATATTACCCGTCAGAGAATGGACGGCAAAACAAACGAGCACGATGCTATTATCTGAAAGGACAAGCAAAGATTGTAACGTAACATCATGATATATATTTCGTTGCGAAAGGTGTGGATCTAGATGTGAAAATTACCATAAACAGGATTTATAAGACACCAGATAGACTCCAAGGCTAATAGGCCACGCCAGAGAACACTTCCAATCAGTTTTCATGCTCGGACTACAAACTACAACTACAAGCGCGTGGGCGGATTATCAACTTCGTTTAAATTTATGGATTAAATTTGTAATAATAAATACTGCTCCATTTAAAGTTTAAAGGTCAGATTAGCACATTATTTTCAAGCGTTGAACGATTATCACAGATAAAGATAAATAATCCACATCAAAATAACAAAACTTAGATGTACACGAAGGGATAATAATGAAACTTATTAATTTGGTGGCAGCGGGCTAAAAATAAACTATTTTATTTTTAATTTTAAAGATGTTTTGGAAATATTAGCTGCATTATTTTATCAACAAAAATAAACAAAGGATATTTTTTTATTTTTTAAACAGTAATCACAACTTAAGTATCCTAAAAACTGTTGTGCTCATTTGATTTAGTACTATACTTAATTTTAGTCAATTCTACAGATGGCAACTCAAACAATTATCCCATTTCTGTGTGATAAAATATTATTACAATTTCTGTAATAGAGCAAATATTTATTGATGCCTGATCAGGGCTAATTTTTACTTGCAATCATATTGTTATCTAGATTTCCAAGCGAAACTGTTATCACTACTACTTGACAACAGACTGCCCGGGATCGAAACCGGGACATTAATAAAAAAAAATCTTTGGAATTCCTGTTTTACCTTATCATAATAATACTAATTATTTTATGAAATTACTTCAAATAAGATAAGTACAATTTTTTTCAAAGATCACATTTGTAAAAAAAAAACTTTGAAGAAATCATTGTCAGTAATGAAAAATGATTTTAAGCTCCGCTCTACCCAACGAATTAAGTTTAGAAAATTTCCATCGAGCATATGTCAATATATATTGGATGAATATTTATCAAACATGTATTCCAAAATATATTGGATGGTCATTGAAGGACATACATTTTTAATATTAATTTATTTTTTGATCATTTTATAAAGAATGGTAACGTTTAAAACAATTTCCAAAATGCATAGCTGGTTGATTTTGACATGTTTTACAATAAAATGTTGTTCGCCGCCTTCCTCCTGGTGCTTTTCTGTCGGAACAGACAATACAATCCCTTTTTCTTTTAGAATTTAGAATATGCCACTGATTAGTCAGTATATTTGGTCATTTTTTTGCTGCCATAATGGTTTATTTTTTTATTATATTGTCTAATAATTCATTTATAAAATATAAAGTAAAATAATCAATTGGATGACTTATATGGCTTTGAATTTGTAGTCGGGGTGTTTGTTGATGTATGTCAAACTCGATTATTGAAGGAGAATCGGCACATTCGCTAATGTCTTCCCGCTCTTCATTTACTTTGTCGAACTTCTTCTTTTTGTTGGTTGGTTAATATCATCATCACATTCATCGCTATCATCGGTGCGAATAGTAATTTCGTAACATTTGTCTGTATGAATGACTATTTACTAAATATTAAAAAAAAGACCATATAGCAAAGAAAAAGGCTAAAAATACTACTAAAATAACTTAAAATTATTTTCAAAATACAATACAGTTTATCACTGCTATATGTAATTTTGTTCAACTTTTCGATGCAAAATGAGTCATTGTTTATAAAATACCATGTGCCTGACAGAGTATGTTTGTCCACTGAGGTGGACAGCCGTCTCCAAAGTGTTAATATATTTATTAACTTTGTTTACTTTTTTCACTGTGAGAGTCGTGAAATTGGATTTATACAAATTTCTTTAAAATTTTTGAATTATTTTTTTAGTTTTAGAACAACGAACTATCCAATCGAATAACTAACTTTTCTCTTGTTATTTCGCAAATAGGGAAACCCATTTATTATATATTTACTATTGACTTCACAATCCGTTCAGAACTTTATTCTTAATTTGTCTGGTTTATTTGGTATATTTTATATAAATCTAAACCTACATTTTGACAAAAACTGCCCCCCCAAATAGCTAATTATTTCTCATCGGTCAAATTGATCGTTTGCGGAAAGTTAGTTTAGTATATATTATATAATTAATAAATTCCACAATATAAATTTTACTAGGAAATGCAATACCGATGGGAAATTTCAATACCGGTATTTCGGTAATTTTTCATTTTAAAATCGGAATAACGGAAAATTATCGGTAGTTTTATTACCTTAAACAAACGTAAACAAAATTGAAAGTTACTAGTACAAATATAAAAAAAATGTCTATACAACTACAACTATATTCAACTAAACAATAAAAACAATAAAATAAAACAATACATTTATTTTTTTAAATAATAATTTAACAAAATTATATACAATTTAATTAATTCATTATCACTATCGAGTATATTGAGTTCTTTTCATCAAAAACAAACATGAGTAAGAAAGACCATAAAAGATCATATTACATTATTATAATAAACTGTATTGTCTGTATCCGATGTGTTAAATTAGCATAATCTCCAACATTTGAAAAAAATAATTTTTCTTCACTAATTTAAGATCAGATTCTTTATCGAGATAAATAATAAGTTACTATAATTGTTGAGTTATTTAAAACAATGTGATGTTTCAAACTTCGAAACGTTTTCGAAAAATAATATTTTATAATTGTAATAAGAAGCAAAAATATGTAGTAATTATCATAATTATTATGTATAAAGTTAGAAAAAATTAAAGATTACGCAGGGGTAATCTGTATGATATAAAATATTTTGGCGCAAATATCACTTAAAAAACTATTACATTTTTACATAAGATGAAACAAACATCATTATCTATCAGTCCAATTCTATTTATTGTTACACGATGTAGTCCTTAGTAAAGTAATAAATATTCCGTTTAATGACGAGCTGAAATAATATTTGACAATTGTTTATTCTATAGAATCACTTGAAAATATAGGTGTTTATGCGATTCTGGAATTTAAAGATAAATTTGTTCCAAGAAATTTAAACTTTAATGTATTATGTATCAAATAGCACTTATGTAAAAATACCGAAAATACCGGTATTTTTGGGGTAAATACCGGTAAAAATACCGCCGAAAAATCGGGCGGTTTACCGGTAATTCGGTATACCGGTATTGCATTCCCTAATTATTACTATACGAGTTAACACACCTCGTATTAATTCATTGTCCTTTATCAATTTCAGATATTAGCATCATGTCTGCTCGCCCCTGGCCGGCCATTCGCTCGCCGGCTATTCCCAGCAATACCAGTCCCAGGACGGGCACGGTTCGTACGCCTACGGTTACGCTGATCCCAACTCGCAGAAGACGGAGCACAGGTCGCACGACGGCACGACACACGGGGAGTACTCGTACGTCGACGGGGATGGAAAATTGCAAGCGGTCAAATATGTTGCAGATCATGCAGGTACAAATTGGAAGATGAATTTTAAAAACATGTTCAAATTGTATCAGGATAAGAAATAAAAAACGTGCATATACTCTATTCCGATTTTAGTACAAACTAGCAAACCCGACGAACTCCGTTTCGCCACCAGATGGTTTCGTGAGAAAGATGAAGAAATTTTTTGTTTGTTTTATATTTGAAAAAGAAAAATTTGATTTTATTGCACAACAGTAATGAATTTATTTCGATTACAAAAATGAAGTGTTTTTTAGTTGAACTTCTCTAATTGTAAGTAAATAAAAGTGAATCCGCAAATTATCCGTTTCATTGAAGTGCTCTTTGGTAAACCACATATTTTGTTTTTTGGTATGAGGTTAACACAAACAATGCGAATGGTTTTCCAACTCGTGAACAGGCAACGTATAACTGCCCATGTGAAAAACAATGATTTTCTAAATAATCTATTTGAAATTTATCCCGCAAACACTAAGCGATTGGCCTTGCGACTTGTTATTGCGAACGTAAGGCAAACTGGAAATTGCAATCGTTTGAAGTCAAACGGAAGACCAGTCGGAATCATTGGTATGTCACCAAATTGCCAGCAATTTTTGATTGAATGGTGAAATTCAGTGCGTGTACATCATTATTCTTTGCGGCAAGAATTGCTAGTTGACTTAACCAAGCATAATTCTGATAATTCTCACTAATGTCATTACTCGAATATTTAATTACGGTGCATGAAGTTCCAGCAATTTGCATTAGGGCACGATGCCATGCACTATATATTTATATATATATATATATATATATATATATATTATAATCATTATATATTTTATCGTTCATAAAATATACAATGACGATCTTATCGCTCAAAACACTTGAGAAAGTTTACATTAGCAAGAGGTGCCGAATAAATCCATCTGAGGATATATTTCTTACGATTAGAAGAACGCTTTTGAAATATACTCGTATACATTTTCAAACTGGTTTGTAAATTTGAAATTCATATTTTAAGTATAAAACTTTGTATATTTTTGAAAATTTTGAAAAGAAAATGTTTCTAAAAATTTTGAAATTTTGAAATTATAAAAAAATATTATAAGGAAATTAAAGACAAAGAAGACTGAAGAATTATATAAAAATATTTTAATTATAATAGATATTATATTAATGAAGTAGTCAAATGAAAAGTATATAAAATATGAAAACTTTTCATAATCTCTCATACCAGGCACTTCTGTCTGTCTGAGATTGCTTGAATCATATAAGTAAACTTTAAGAATCAACAATCTTAGTACGAAGCCCAACAAAATTAGTACCCATTTTTTTAAATTTTATCAAAAACATCTGATAATTTGATGTGCATATGTCTAATGATCATTTTTGACCGCCAAAATATCTTTTTTTTTTGCTTCTTCTGTATCTCAGAAACCGCTAGACCTGCCTTTACAACTTTTCATTTCGTCAATACAAGTAAAATGTTTTTTGAATCATTCAAATCGGATACTCTTAAAAACTGAATTTGTGTTTTCAGCACTTTTTGCGCCGTATCTTCGAAACGGCTGGACCTGTCTCCACCAAAAACTAATCAGCATATCTCCCCATCAGTAGCTATCGAATGTTTTTTGAAGCATTCAAATCGGTTGATTCGTGCGCTCGAAATAGTAGACTAAAATTGTATCCACAAATACACACATACACACAAATACATACTTTTTTTTAAGGTATGCCAAACTGTTCAGAAACCTTCAAAACGTGAAGATATGCAAAAATTTCCATTTTAATTTTTTTTGCGATTACTGTCACTTACTCTACGAAAAGTTAATTGTAAGAAGAATTTTAAAGACAATATAAGATTGTATCATTGCCTTAAGCATGATAATAAATTTTAAATAATGAATTTGAGTGAGGACGTCATCTGTAATCAGTAGTTGCCAACGAAACACAACAGTACGTACATATGCTTTGGCATAGAATCTGATTAGAATCGCTTAAACGAGTTCAAAACTGTAAAGTTTGATGATTGCTTATACGCTTATCGTAGGCCTATAATATTTTAGTATGCTAGTTCAGACCATAAAATCTATCATAATACAAAGTTATCTTCAGCAAAAACTCATCGGGCCGATATCAACTGATATCTTTCGATGGTTTTGAAGTTTTCAAGATCGAATGTTTTGAAGATTTGAAGATTTTTGCGAGAACGTTTGACAAAAAAAATTACATTTATTTGCCTATTCTAAAGAAACTACTGGCCGATAGTCTTGTAAAAACTAATAAACACCTCAATTCAAACACCTTAATTCTCAAATTTCATCGGTTTGCTGTTGAAGTTATGCAATCGGTGCAGTTGTTTTTAAGATGACGTCAACGAAAGGTCAAAAATCGACTCCCATACACACATATACTTTTTCCAATTTTATCCCAATCGATTCAGAAAGACATGAAACGTCGAGAAAATATGAAATTATCAAGTCGACTTTTTTCTGTGAAAGCAAATTCCTTCAAAAAGTTACCCAGACGAAGCTACCAGAAATTGATTCGTAGTAACCTTTACTGATCAGTAATGCATTCAAATGCTTTCTCAGGTGATTGGAATTGCAAACAGCTCGTGTACGACAGCAATTTGCGCTTTTACAGTGCAAATTTATCTGCGGGCGTAATTGACGGCAAAATAATTGGCATTTATATGAAGGCGCGTGAATTACTTAATGAACGATCGATATGAATAGAACACTTGCAATAGTTTGCATATATAATATATCGTCAATAATATAATATTTACCTACCGGTCTTATAAGAATAATCGTGTTGATCGATAGACCGACACCTCCAGTAATCCGACATCTTGGCGACCGTACTTTTTGGAAATTTTAATATTATTTTCAATATCATATGTTGACATTCACTATGGTCTAGTAATCCGAACATTCCAGTAATCACCTAGTAATACTGTGTATATATATATATATATATATATATATATATATATAAAACAAAAAAAAACATGCAAAACTTACCAAATAGTCTATGCCAATGTGCCAATCATCCAGTGCCCAATGGCTGCTCAATAATTTCATTACATATACCACGTGTAGGTATTAATTAAATTTGTGTTGTAACAAACAAAGTTCAATTAAATGTCTTAAATATAAACTATTTAAAACATAGAAACACTGAGGGATATTATATTTGTATAAACCAATAACTTAAAATCATAAAACATCACTTCTCACGGCTAACCTCAATTCTAAAGTTCATACCAATTTCTTCATTCCTGACTATAGTAAAAACGACTAGTTTAATATAAGTTAACTACTTGTTTGTATTCACTTGAAGTATATAATATCAATAAAATAAGTCCTGAAGGGTATGGCAGTACTTTCGACAGACTGAACTAAAAATATTAAATGACCAAAAATAATTTGTCAATACTTAAGAACTTCAAACCAAATCATCCATAAACATATCAAATATCGATAATAGTGATGTACTAGATCATTCAATATATATTTATGTCACTTTGCAAGAATAGAAATCACTGATTCCCAAACTATGCTATCAAAGCTTATCAAAAATACTTTTTATCGTTTTAACTTTTATTTACATCACTAATGTTGGATGCTATTTTCATAGGCCCTGATTTAGTCATAAAATTGTAAAGATCAATATTTTGTTCACACAATTTTGATCACATAGTTTGCCTAAATATTCCAAACCAAACTCAAAAAATAGATAATATAGACGTTCGTTTATAAAATTTAAAATTTCATAATTTAAATACTAATTATTAATCAATAAAATAAACAATTTTTTACAAGATATTACAGACACAAAAATGTGAAAATTTTATATTTATAAAATTTCGCGAAAGTTATATAGAAATATTTCTTAATAAAAAGTTTTATAGAAATATTTCTTAATATTTCTACATTAAAAATTATAGCTTAAATAATATTTTGTAAACACATTACCAAACAATTTGTTTGCGATTCTCAGGTCAACGTGTTTATTAGCGCGTAACGCCCCAAATTTTTTCGAATAAAAAAGTGCACCTTACACGCATAAATTTATACATTTCCTAATAATCATGACAAAATATTAGAAAGATATCAAAAAAATATTGGGTCAAGAATTGAAATTCTGACGTACATAACATAATTAAACGCACTTTGTATTTTTTGTCTTTAAAAAAATTGTTAAATCATTATTATATTTATCATTCGACTATCAAGTTTTATAAAGTAATAGAGTGATTCAAAAATATATTATTTTTGAATTATTATGAGTTATTGCAGTTTGAGAACAATAGAATTGAAATAAAATTATTTTTTAGGATTCCATGTGGCTGGAACAAACCTGCCCCAGGCTCCCCAACAACACGGAGGTTACCACACTGGCGCTGCCCTTGTTCACAGTGGCGGTCATGGTTTATACCATGGTCCACATGCAGCCATAGGACATGATGGTAAAATAATAATTTATTTTGAAACTTATATCAAACTTGCAAATCTGATTCATGCTTTTGATTAAATATTAATGAGCAGCAAATTAAGGATATTTATATAACAGCAATCCTGGTGTTGTACATTATGTTTCTATTTCTATATTTCTTACCCAGGTCATCCAATCGAAACCCCAGAAGTCCAGGCAGCCAAACACGCCCATTTCAAAGCCCATGCTGAAGCAGCAGCCGCAGCACACTATGGTCCTCACCAGTACCAAGCCTATGCACCACATTACGCAGGAGCAGGATTCGGAGGCCACTACCAGCACGCAGTTGCTTAAGTGCACATGGAACGCCTGTTGAAACACCAGAGGTTCAAGCCGCCAAACACGCCCATCTGCAGGTTGGCATTTCGATAAAGCAATATTCGAATATTTGAATTTATTATCGAAGCCGATCCCATTGTGGATTGTGGGTGGTTAGAAAATTTAGAATTATCGGTCAATGGATTGCGGTTTGATTTATTTTAGATATGGGATAGACCATATAATGGCAATCAAATATCACTTATCATGAACGAAACAGTTTTATTGCATATTCAATCCTCTTGTGCTAAAAACATTTGCTAATGTTTCAGATATTTAAAAAAAACTCATTTAAAATGTTGTCTAATATTCACATTTTTTTAAATTTTGATGATGCAGTAGTATTACATGCTCATTTTTTAATTGGGATTGCCCTTGGGTAAGCGGTTAAGAGCAACGGGACTTGTTTCAGAGGTCCCGGGTTCGATGCCCACTTCGAGCAGCTTGTTGTCAGGCAGTAGTGACAACGATTTTCACTTGGAAATATAGATAGCAATATGTTTCCAAGTGAAAATAGCTCTTGCCCGGCATTGCTGCAACAATAAAAAGTCAGCCCTATTAGATTAATTCTAATACAAAAATCATCAAATATGGATGGATTAACCATTGGGTTACCATCTAAAAATACAAGTGAGGAGAAGTTTCAGCCCAACAGCTCATAGGACGTAAGGTTCTGATTGCTGTTAAAAATATATATTTTTTTTTTTTAATTACAAATAAATTTTAGCCATAAGAAGTAAAATTACGCTTACCAATTTTAACATTCTATTTAAATATTTATTCTTCCAGGCTCATGCTGAAGCAGCGGCACAACACTCCTATGGAGGACATGGAGCATGGAGGAGGAAAGAGATTCTTTATGGAGCTGGTCATGGAGGATATGGAGGAGCTTAGGTAATAGCGATGAGATTATTAGAATTCACTTGAATAATATGGACATATGTGATAAAAATTGTGTTGTATAACAGGATTCCAAAGCCACGTTGTACACAACCGCGGATATGGTGGTGGTCATGGAGGATACTATCACGGACCCCAAGCTGTCATTGGACCTCATGGTAAAAAAATCAAAATTATATATAAATAAACTCAGTTAAACTTTAATCATTGTTAACTTTATTGTCTTCACAATACTGTGCATTTCTCTCCTGGCAGTGTCTACTATTAAATATTTTTTACCCTCTTCTTCTAGGACAACCTCTTGAAACTCCAGAAGTAGTTGCTGCTAACATGCTCACTTTGCTGCCCACGTGAAGTTAAAGCCAACTTGCCGCAGCATCAGCTGGACACGCATACGGTGGCGGCGGTTTTGGAGGAGCTTACATGGTAAACCAAATTAGCATTTTCATTATAATATAATAAATAGTTAACGACCACATTTTAAACCATTTTCTTCTTTCATCCTTCAGGTGGATACCTCGCAGCAAGTGCAGGAGGTCATTACGGAGGCT